CCGGAGGCCCGCCCTCTGCTGCTAGGAGCCCCTTGGCGGCACATGGTTCTGCCGCCGGCGACTTCGCTTTGCAGCACTGAAGCTCGAAAAGCTTTCCAACAAGCTTCGAGATCAGGTTCTGGTCCGCATCCTGCTTCGAGCAGCGATGAATTAACTGCACTTGCACACAGACGAGACGGCTCTGCTGCCAATTCAGAAGCAGAATGTTCTGCACAAGCAGGTCGTGGAGAGCCTGGTTCTGGAGCAGGGCTTTCTTGACATCGCATCCAAATTGCCACGTGGGGACCTTGCTGGACCCTTCTTGTCTATCCATCATGGCTCGGTGGGACGAGCAGGAGATCAGAATATCAGAAATCTGCTCGTCTGACCGAGCCATGATTGACAGACAAGAATTCTGAATTGGGCAGACGCAAGACATTTAGAATCTGAATGTCTTGCGTCTGCCCTTTAACAAAAGCTGACGAAGTGCTTGGAAGATGCGCGATGCTTGAGCGAAAACGGATCAAGGCGTTCGAGGCTTCAGGGTTCCACGGGCATCGGCTATGAGGTGGGATCTGTAAGGTGTGCTTGCAAGTTTGCGATTCAGCTTAGGGACGCTTAAGTGGTGGCGATTGCGTTGCACGTCGCTATTACCGAGCACCTCGCTGCGACATGAACAAGGCTTCCAAGTCTTGCAGACACATCCGATAACTCGCTTTTACTTCCTTGGGGTCGCCAAGGGCCGATAACAGCTGATCAGAGCTTAAATTATCTGGTGGGCTGCGCTGCGCAAGGATGACCCAGTAACAGGTAACCCAAGCTGTCCTGCGCAGCTCACTGTTTCACTTCAGACATTAGTGGGACAGGGGGTGTTTGTGGTTGTCGATGAAAACCACTGCGAAAACGCAAGACATCTCAACGTAAGATGGAACCGGCATCTCCCCCATGGTAGGGCCTGCGACCCCACACCCTCAGCCCTGACTTGAGCCAGAAATGATCCTACTCCATCACCGGAAAGGAACAAAAACACACCCTAAACCCTAAACCTTAAAGCCCTAAACCCTAAACCCACCCCTAAACCCTAAACCCCTAGACCCCTAAAACCCTAAAGCCACAGTTCCCGGGTGCCCTGGCCAACTCCAGCAAGAGATGCGGGAAGCCACGTTGGAGCTGCGGCCTCGTCACTGCCACGACAAGCCGAGATCGAGTCTGGAACCCGGCTCTCTGGCTGAAGGCCCAGAATATATAAGATATGATATATGATACATGATATATATATATATATATATATATATTTATATTTATATTTATATTCATATTATGTCATAGAACCTGTATGTAGTTTAAAATAAAATAAACATACGATATCACCTACGCTTTGTCGCTATGTAATATATCCCCACGGAGCACGTAGCGGCTAATCTGGCCCACGCCCGTGCAAAGCTATCGTTGCTACCTGTCCAACGACAACTCCCTTACCCTCCAGGTACCTACTATATGGGGTTTAGGGGTTTAGGGGTTTAGGGTTTAGGGTTCCGGTAGTTTCCCCTAACCCTCCAGGTACGTACTATATAGGGCCCTAGGGGCTCTAGTACCCTATATAGTAGGTACCTGTAGGGGTTAGGGAGCTGTCATCGGCAGGCATCTTCGGAGAACAAGAACCAGGACCTTCCTTGCACCCTCAAATAGGGGTGATAGGGCCCCAAGTAATGGGTATCTAGGGTCAAGCAAAAGGTAGATGGAGGGTCTGGGAACAGCTGGCCGTTTGCCTGAGCCAGGAGACGACACATGCCCATTCCGACAACTTCTACTCCGCAGCTGTGAATCCTCAAACCCGTAACGTAACGAGCCAATAATCCTGCGCCCCTTGAGGTGCCGTACTATACCTATAGGCTCCATTGTAGTTCGTTTTTTGTGGTTGATATTTAGGATCCTATAAGGTAACCCCCAAAGAAACTACAATGGAACCTATGCGTAGTCTCAGCCCCTTAGACTCGGCACTTGGGCTCCAGCTTCATAGCGACAACACCGGGTTCGGAAGGCCTTTGCTGGGCGCAAGCAGCACATTTGAGAGCACATCAAAAGTATTCACAGATGCAAGTTCCGGAAAACGAAAGGGGATCGTAGAAATGCCAGCGGGCAACGATACACCACCACAGCATTAAGACCCTTCAGCATCGAACTGAGAATCAGGCTCACCTCCGGCCTCCATGGCCTGAGGAAGAAAACAGGTAATCTCTGATGAGGGTTGAGTTCGGGTTTAGGTGTGCGGAAGAATTAGGGCTGTTGAGGGCCCTTCGTGCTCAGCATTTTCAAGTCTCCACCACTTTGAGCTCTTAGGGTGTTTGGGCTGTTGGGAGATTTGTCAGGCTCTCCAGGATGCCGCAGAAGGAAACATTCTAAGCACCTGCATCCCAAACCTTTGCGCAATACCAGCCCTCGACGTGTGTGCTAACTGATCGTCTCTTCAGATCCGCACCCTGCGCTGGGCAGCACCGGCGGCGGTCCTGCAGAAGTACGTGCATGGTTAGAACCATGATAAGAATGCAAAAAGGGATTCAGTCCAGAAACGGATTAAGTAAACAACAGCAGCCACGTACGACTGCAGCATCGCAACAAATCGAAACCTTGGCATCAAGCTCCCAGCGAAGATTTCATAGTACTTGCCATTCCCGAAAATGACGACGAGGACGACAGCGACGATTCGCATGGCTTTGCGATGTCTGGACCCATGTAAACTTGCATGTATTTCCAGAGAGTCTAGATTGTCTCGGTGACACCAGACGCTTCCAATGTCACGAAACTAGCGGATGCAAGCACCATGCGATGTCGGAATTGTGCCCGGAAGGCATCAAATCCTACAGTCGTTTTTACAGCGACTTGAAATCAAGTGCGACTGCGCGGGCATATTGAGGAGAGCGTTGTACGCTCCAAGAGCCTTTTTGCATGCATGCATGGTCGGGGGACCTTCGACGGAGATCCAAATTCAAGCTGTGGATGCTTGCGGCTCCTGAAATTGTCAAGGCCTGCGTTGAGGGCATCCAGCGCTGGGCCTGGACTCGGCTCCCAGTAGGTTTGCCCTGGTAGAGCTTTTGGAGTTTGGGGGTCCTTGCACGTAGCAAAGATATCATCGAGCAAGCACACATGCACTCAAAAACCTATCCGAATCCTAGGACGTGACTGGCAAACACTGAACTTTTGCCATTCTTCAACTTCCTTCAAGAAGGATACCTCAATGTGGCTTCAAGGGTTCAGTCAACATGTGAAAGCCCAAAGCTACTCCGGCCTACCCGCTGGCTCACAGCCCGGTAATTTCTGCTATATACACGCGCCAAAAAGACGTTGATTCTGCCCTTGGTGGCTATATGGCTGTATAGGCCAGAACCTCTGGAGGGAGGCCTAATGCTAAAGTCGTACCAGTACAATGTCTTCCGTGCTGGATATGCGCTGGAACCCTAAATCCTCAACCCATATAAACTTAAACTTACTCTGTCATTTGTCTTACATCGAACTTGTTGCCAACTCCTTGCACGCAGCCCTTAGACAGGCCTCTACCCCCCCCCATGGCGCCTGTCAGGCCCAAACCCGTTCGCTGCCGCAGCTCCTCGTGGCAGAAGTCTTCGGATCTCCGGCGTCTGTTGTCATGCTATAGGGGCAAAATATGTTTGCCCCCATAATATGTTTGGTGTATTATTTTTCCCCTATAATATCTATAGACCCCTTGACCCTTTTGCAGACAGGCCTCCTGAGGTGTTGCCGGGCTATCAACTCGCATCCAAAACGAACAGTGGACACAGAGAGAGCCTAGGGCCTTTTTCCTGCTCTTATTCGTCATGTCTTGTGGGAAAGAATCCCGCCATAAACATGCCTTAAGTGGCCAGACCAGAAAATGAATTACAAGTCTGCGGGCTTATGGACCCGCTGATGCCGGGGTCGGGGCGCGGGGCTTCAAGGCTCCCACGATTTCTGTGGGTGTGACGAGGGTACGCGCGGTCAACTCCACAGACTCGTGCACAAAATTGAATCTCTTCAATTGCCAACCTTTTGCGACAGACTGCAAAGCGCAGGTGCCAACCCCAACGTCCTCCAATGTGGTCGCCTCAAGTCCGAGGTACTAAAACGCCAAACTTGCGGAGTCTTCCTGTACGGTCTGTTGGGGACGTTTGACAATGTGGCAGCATCTAAAACGCACTAAAACCTCCAAAGCACCAAGTTCGTCGTTATCGATCATCAGCTTAGACTCATTAGACAACTCTGCACAACACACACTGCTGACAGAACAACTTCGAGCAAGCTGCCACTGCTCTCAGAGTGCCCTTGAAGCTTCGAGTCGGCTAAGCCGCCGGCCGCCAAGTCCTGAGGATCGACACGGGTCTTCAACGCTGCCAGCTCGTCCTTGAGGTCGTGTAAGGTGCAGGGTTTTAGGGACTGAAGTCACGAAAGTCGTTGGCCAAGGGAATGCACCAGGGCGCCAACATGTGGGGTTTCGGGTTTCGGGGCTCGCTAGTTTCGGCGCTCACACTCGGACAGTCCAGGCGAGGCAACCGGGGTTTCGGCTTCAAGGCTTATGTTCCAGGATCCCCTGCAAGCCCGGAATCGGGTCTCAGAAGTTGCAGTTTCATGGTACGAGTAGTTTGTGAGGTTTTCGCCACGGTGGGGCTCGAATGTTGGCAGGCTGGCGTGCTGAAAGCTCTGAGAACTTTGGCGAGGCTTCAAGGCCGTGACCTTCGAAATATCACCCTGCGACACCAAGGGAAGCATCTGAGGATGGTGCCAGGTAGAGGGTGTCCAAGTGGTAGCGCTTCACCCCTCGTTTCGTGGCTTGGGGTCGGGGTGGGTGTCGGGAGACATCAGCTGTAGTTTGGCCGATCGGCAAAACGTCTGCGCGGGTGGACTTTTCTCATGAGTTCACATCGAAAACGTGCGTCCGAAGAATCGTGCCCTTTTCGGGCTGCTAGAAATCACATAACATGAAACAGATATGTAAACTCTTCGACTTGACAAGCGCCACTCAGATTCTCTTAGTCCTTGACGATGATGCCCTCCTTGCCCGCGATAATGCCTCGTTTGCTCTTCAGCTTGCAAACCCCATTGATATTCTTGAACCGGACCACTGCGTGCTGAACTGCCAAGACGCACCCACCATGCGACGATCTCAAGATGCAGCACGGAGCTATGATGTAAACCTACGAAGCCTAGAAAGAATGAACCCCGTCAAATGCACTTATGGAAAGTATTGTTATGCCATGTCGCAGGCCGTGGTCATGCCCGTGAAGAGGCCGTGGTCCACAACACCGACCGTGGCCTTCAGCTGCTCACCGGCTGCAACAGGATCGGAAATGGGGCTCGTGAACTTCCTCAGCAGAAACTGGACACAACGTGCAAGAGGGAAGAATATGACACACACACACACATATACATATATATATATATATATACATATATACATATGTATGTGTGTGTATGCATATACACCCACCTACCTACCTACCTACCTACCTACCTACCTACCTACCTACCTACCTACCTACCCAAGTAAGTAAGTATGTATGTATGTAACACAATGCAGTGCAACACAGTGCAGTACAATGCTGTTGCATGCATGTATGTATGTACACATATGTGTGCACACACATTCCTGTATATGTATGTGTGTCTGTGTGTATATACACATAAATAAATAAAACTCATGAATATGTACATACATACGTACATACGTACATGCCTCCATACATACACACATACCTGCAATACATACTTACTTACATACTTGCATTCGTGCATGCAGATGTATGTATGTACACATGCATGTGTATATTCTCTCTTTATACATATATATATATATATATATGCATATATATATATATACATACATACATATATATATATATAGCTATTAATCTACATAAAGCTATACGCATGCATCTATATATATATATATGTGCATGAATGT